CGTTGAAAATTGAATAAATCCAAAGCTGATTCTGTCGTATCATATTCCTCTCGTCGAGCGATCCAAGTCAATTGCGATATTTTTCCTTCGGGGCCAGGTTGAGCACCGCGATTACACCGCCGTCTTGGTTCAACCATGGACCAGACAAAAGATCCTGGTTCTCACGACCACGCCCTCTCCCCGCCGCCTCTGCGCTCCGTAGACGGCGGCAATGCCTTCACGAAGCTACCTCTATCCACCGGAAATTCCTCGAGCCGCGGCTCCTTCCACTCTGTGTGTACACACACGTGTGGCGGCGCGTATAGAAGCGTGTACAGCCACGGTGTGCTGCGACCTCTTCCACCTCTCTCTCTTTCTCTCTCTCTCTTTCTCTCTCTCTCTCTCGCGAGGCGATAATAAATGGCCGAGTATGCACCAACGAAACGGGGGACGTGTTCTAAAAATGCATACTCGATGGATAGTATTCACGGTCACTTTGCCCGTACTATCGAATTTCTAAGCGGCTCCACGTTGGCCATACACGTTGCCCGTGCGAATGTCGAAGACCCCTGACCCCTCCCTTCTCGCTACTCTTCCTCCCGATCCCCCTTGAAAAACCCGCCGCTCTATGGGACGACGAATATGCTTGGCATTCGGCGACCCACCCAGACTTCTTCCTTCCTCTCGGCCGCGAGGTGCGCGCAGAGCATCGATAAAAAAATTCCACGAATCGTCGTTCCTCGAGATCGACTTCTGCGCCGATTTTCCTCTCTCTTTCTCTCTCTCTCTTTCCTCTCTCTTTCTCCACTAGGTGGAATCAAAGGCGGTCGATGAGTAATGGCTCGTGGTCGTGAACCCGTCCACGACGGCGACAACCGGCCATACGGTTATATATTATACTCTCAGGACGCATTATCGTTATCGAGACGGATCTAGAGATTCTATTTGTTAATAACGGTGTACACACTCGTCGAGATAACTCTCGTGGGAAGAAGAGCGGTCTAACGACCGGGGAGGGAGAGGCGTTAATGTCGAGGGACCGTTGTTGCGAACCGAAAAGAGAGAATTCCCTTTTACCACCTCGGGTCACCTCACGGGGTATCACGAGGAGTAGCGTCCTATCCTTGTTGGAACGTAACCGAAGAGGATCGCGCACGGCCGTTCAACCGTGGGGAATATTGTCCCAGCAATTAAGCCTCTCTGCTCCTCCTCTCGCCGCTCCTTTCTTCCTCGGAGCGTTACGCGCCTCGCTTTCTTCTTCTTCTTCTTCTTCTTCTTCTTCTTCTTCTCTCGGTTTAATTGTTTCGCGCACACCTCGCTCCGTCACCTTGGAACGGTTCCAACCGGTGAACCGATCCGCCTCGCGGCGAGAGGAAAGAAGGCGATGACGAACACTGCGAGGGCAGTGTTCTACGTCCGTGTGAGCGTGCGCGAATCGGGATGAAACGGGTTGAAACGTCGAAAGTGGGAAAATTTGTGGAAGTTATGGTGATTGGGAAGACACGGATACGATCCCTCTTATTTCTGGAGTAATCGTTTTGACATTCAACCAGGAAAATTTCGCCTTGAGTGGCAGTCTTCTCTTTAACTAATTTTTCTCCTTTCGCGTTCAACTATTCGTTTTAACGTTAAGCGTGGAAAGAAGAGGGAGGATGATGGATGATGGATTAAATTAATCGGTAATTTGAAGTTAAACTTACCGGTGTGGGTCCTCTTGTGAGCCTTGAGGTGGGAGCTCTTGGTGTACACCTTGTCGCAACCGGCGACGTCGCATCTGTGAACTTTGCGCCTCTTCAACGCGTCGCCGCATTCGCCGTCCATCGCGAGGCTGCCGCCGTTCCCTCCGACACCGGCGTTCACCCTTCCGCCGATCCCTATTCCGCTCGCCAGCGCTGGACGCTTGTGGAACACCCTGAAATTTCCAACGATCCCCTCGAGAACACGGGATAAAACGATAAAGCTCTCTAAAGTCGAGGGGAGCGGGCGACGAACGAGATTCTCGGGGGAGGGGAGGAAGAAGAGGGAGG